TATATATATATATATATATATATATATATATATATATATATCTATAAACACGGGGATAAGACTTATTCCAAATCAGTTTAACATCACAGCAGGGGAAAAACAGTAAGAGCACAGCAATACATTTAGCTGCCCACATTTCGCAAGTGATATGATCAGAAACAAAATATTGATTATTAATTCACCATTCCTCTCTTTCCAAGAACACACACACATTGGAACAGCAGCTAAATTTCGCAGCGTTGGACTTCACAATGAATGCATTACTGCAGGAAGCATGATTGATGAAACCATAAATGTCTGTCTAAATAGTATACATAATGGGCAGAGACTAATAAATTCTGGTGATGCTTGAAGCAAAACGCAAGTTAATCTAGAAAACGTCGGTGCATTTGACCATCACGACTCGAATGGTTTCTAGACTTTCTTACGAAGAAAGGATTATGATTTGTCAACACTCATGCCATCAGGTCTGGTTTTTCCAACAGGGTTGAATGTTTATATATCCCTGTCATCTTGTCTCAGCCCCTAAGCTAGTATTGAGTAATGTACTGGTCTGGAACTAGGATATGCTGGTTTAAAATCCCTACATTGTTTGATCGCCGCATGATGGTCTAAAGGCACAAATGAGTGCTGCTATTGACTACTAGTCTATATGCTGAGCCAGCTTTAACATGTCCTTTCTTCCACGAAAGAAAATAAAAAAGCTACTGGCAACACGCATGTGAAAACAACGTTGGGATGAATCCACAGCACTCAGCCACCGCAGTCTTCTGTCTAATGCGAAAACAGCTCCTTTATGCTGTTCAGTATAGTGTCCTGATGCTCGACATTGCTCACATTCATTTCCTCCAGATCTTCTTTGGTCAGGTCTGTGATGAACTCCAAGGAGTCCCAGCCCTTGAAGAGGAAGCGGTTGGTGTACTGCTGCAAGTTGATCACCGACAGCCAGTCTCCGATTGTTGTCATCTTCCTCGTAGCTGCCTGAAATGGTCACAAACAATGACCATCGACAGACAGACTAAAATCTACTGAAATACCTCGTGTGGCTATCCAAGTGCGGGTACTACATACCAGGGGCCCGTTGTCAGAAAAATCGCAAAGTTAATGTTAATGCTAAGATAGCACTTACGACTGATGTTAATGTTACAAGAATAGCGTTGACAGAAACGCATCGCAGCTATAAGAAAACTTTAACAACGGACAACGGGCCCCAAACCACGCTAAATTCAATAACATTTCCAAAACAGGAATCTCAACGAATTCTAACCGAGTTATTCTAAAACGATTCCAACACATTTACATATGTCAAACACTTTGACTATATATATTTTAGGCGTATATATCTGTTAATGTTTAGCACAAAGCACTGCCAAAAAATATATGCATTTTCACCATAGAACACGGCATTACCGAGTCGTGGAAGCGCTTGGGAACTTGAGGCTTCGCAGGGGCCTGTGGCCGGGGTTTCGGCGTATCGTAGATGGCAGCCTGAGCGTAGCGTAGAGTATTTCCGGAGGCGGCAGCGGTCGGCGATGACGCGACGGCATCCACTTCCCCCGGAGCCCTGGAAACAGAACCGGATTAAATCCCCATGCGACGTGCTGAGATTTACCTGGCCCTGGGTGAGCAGTATGACGAACTGGTGAATACAATATAAGTATATAGAACCAAGAGTAGAAAATTGACTAAAAAAAAAAATGTTAAAAAAATAAAAAATAAAAAATAAATATAAATTTGGTCATCAAATAGTGATGATTATATATTATATATTATTATTATATATGATTATTATAGCCAGTGATGATTTGTAATACAAGTATATAGGAACAGGAGTAGAAAATCGACTAAATTTGGTCATTATCTTCTTCCCCTGTTCTCATACAATCATGATCAATGATGGTGAATAAGAACTAAGAGAGCGCATGATAAAACTATGATGAACATGTATGGTCGCACGCACCCCACGTTGGAGGCCCGAGACCTCGTTCGAGGCTTTGGCACGGGCTGAGACGACTGCGAGACGCCGGGGCTCCACTCTCGCGCAGACAACACTTGCTGGTCCTGAGGAGTTAGTGTTGATAAGCCCCTAGACTCTGCAGGTGTACCTTCATCCAGTGCCACACAACTGAAGACAGAAAACACACAGAAGACTGAAACGGAACTAGTTGACTCACGCAACAACCTTTGATGGCACATCTGAGTCTTTGGGTATTAGACGAAAGTAAAAGCCAAGTCTACATAGATATTCAATGCTATTAATAAATCGTTTAAATAATCATAACCAAATATTAAATAATTATTATTTTAATAAATTAAAACCATATGAAACTAAGAGTGGGAGAATGATTTTGAAGTCTCATTTAGACTGGGTGAGTACATCTTCACAATGCATATACTAACTAGACAGAGGGCACTCACGGAGAGTGCATACCACCGCCAGCGACATACGCCATACGCCCCATGTAATATGTATGTGTTACGAGCTGGCTCGCCGCTCGCTGCTGGCTGGCTGGCTGGCTGGCTGGCTCGCTGACTCGACGTGCTAATATCGATCGCGCGAACACACTAACACACGAACACACTACACGAGAGCGATCACATAACCTCCTCCAACTCCGTTGGGCGGAGGTAAACAGGGGTTCTTAATCTGTGGTCCATGAACCCCTTTGGGGTCCGTGGATGGGCTTCAGGGTGTTCGTGGACCAGGCACATTCGATATTTTATGTTTATGTGCTTATGTGCAGTTTTCTGGGGAGGGGTCCGTAGCTTTCATCAGATTCTCAAAGGGGTCCATGACTCAAATAAAAGTGTCAATGACACTATAGCTCACCTTGAGTGAGATAGAAGAGGGAAATAATATTTAAAATTGTTTTGGGGATATGTTTTGGGGCCAGTCCTTATTCATTCACATACCAAAAATGAGCAAAATCCGTTGAACCTAAACTGACTTATGCCCATTCTATTTTTGCCTAAAAGTGGGCGTGGCTCGAAAGTAGGTCAACTGGCGTGCTCCAAAATAGGACGTTCACATCTCTCCCATAGGAGTAACAACTGTATGCAATTTAAAACATGTGGATCAAACGGTTCTCAAGTTATCGTTGACCGTAGCCAAATGTTGACGGACGGACAGACGGACGGACGTACGACGGACGACGCCCCATGGCAATAGCTCATCTTGACAATGTCAAGGTGAGCTAAAAAGGTTAAGAACCACTGTACTAAAGCATGAGCTCAGCTGCAAGTGCTCTGTCATCAACGCGGTTTGTCATGACTCCGCACCTGAACTCAGGATCAGGATGATTGTCATACAAGGAATTGCGACGTTCGGCTACTTTCGGCGCAGCCTCTGCTTGACTCAGTGACTTCTCTTCTGCTGCCAGCAAGCTCTCCAGTTCCCCGAATTGGAAGAGAGCCATGGAGGTGTCAACATGTGTAGACCGCTGTGGGATCGGTGGGCCTGGTGATTCTTCAGGTGGCAAGATCGGCTGAGCAATGTTGTTGCTGAATGCTTTGCTGTCCTCTACTGTCGGTTTACTGAATGAAAGTGTCAATGACACTGTAGCTCACCACACAAAAGGACACAAATGAGTGAGTGAGAAGAAGTCAGTTTTAATTGAGCAACTATCGACGTACATTATTTATAGAAACGAAGAGTATATATATTCTATCAGCCGGGGGAAGTCCTGTGTGCATTTATATGTCCCCGCAGTTTGATGCTTGATTCATGTAGGGGACACCCCTGGGAGTAAAAAAAACTTGGGTAGACATTCTGTGTTATTTCTTCTCCGGTAGATGGCGCTAATACTGCTTTGATGTTTCTTAGCAAAAATCATTATATCATAATAAAATAATAATAATAATAATAATAATCGTAAAATCATAATATGTTCATAGCAGGAATTTTGCATTAAAGATATTGTCAATGAAATCTTGTTAAACGAACCAGACAGTGTGACACCACGGACTGTTTAATATCTGCGTGTCTATATATATATGCTATATAATGCCAAACCTACCTAATTTCATAATTTTTTTTAATCAAAACCCCTAGCCCTTATTCATTCACATACCAAGCAAATGAGCAAATCCGT